CAGGCCCTGGATGACCTTCAGGCTGAGGAGGACAAGGTCAACACCCTGACCAAGGCGAAGGTCAAGCTGGAGCAGCAGGTGGATGATGTGAGTAGACTGAGCACTGAGGGTCCTAGACATACCACGTCCTTCTGTGCTCAAAGGTGTGTGCACTTCTCCCCCTCCCTTTCCACTCCCCCTCTCCACCACCCCCTGTATGGAGAGAAAGAGAAAGTGTGTGTGTGTGTGTGTGTGTGTGTGTGTGTGTGTGCGCGCTTGTGGAGGGGGATATTGAAGGGTGTTTACTCTCCAGATCTGTTCTTAGAAGAAAGCTTTGGAATAGAAAAGGAAGAGAGTTTCAAATCTGAATTATGTATCTGATTTCATTCATGTGATCAGTAATAAAGATGGAATTGCTTATTTAATGTATGTTTAATTCCATATATCTCTGCCTCTGGCCACAAGAATTAGAAGGTGTACTCATAAGAACAGGACTCATTTCTCTGGGAGTTTTTTGAGGATCTTCACAGAGGATCTTTGAACTTCTAATATTTTCAGCAGAATCTAGTCCTGAGTGATCACATCTTCCCTCAGAGGCACATGTCTCCACCAAACCACTTATCACTCTGTTATCAGAAGTATTTAAGTAACTATCTCAGCCACAGGACTGAGATCTCCCTTTAGACAGAAACTTGGATTGATTCAATTTTGTGTCTGCAGTGCCTAGCACAGAGTCTGGTACCAGGAGGTGCTTACAGAATGTTGAATGAACAAATGTATATGTGGGGTTTTATCTCACAATCATTCACTCACTCACAAAATACTGTATTTATTGAGCAGCCCCTAACTCTTAGGTATTCTCACTGTCCCCTGAAACATTGGACCCATTCTGGGAAAGGTTTCCCAAGTGAATCCTAGGATTCCCCATCCACAGACCAACTAAGCCACAATGTTACCACATCAGGACACTTGCCTCACCAGCCCTGGCTGGGCCTTCTCTCCACCAGCTGGAGGGATCCCTGGAGCAGGAGAAGAAGGTGCGCATGGACCTGGAGCGGGCAAAGCGGAAGCTGGAGGGTGACCTGAAGCTGACCCAGGAGAGCATCATGGACCTAGAGAATGACAAGCAGCAGCTGGAAGAAAAGCTCAAGAAGTATGCAACTGCAGCAGCCATGAAGGCCTAAAGGAAGTGTTTGGCCCGAGCACATGGTGCGGCACTTCCACTGGCTGGGGTTGCCCTGGGCTCACACACTGGGAATTCTGAGGGCCAGCACAGGCCTCCCCCTTCACTCCGGGCCAGAAGGGAGGGAGCTGGCATTTGAGACAAGAGAAGAGAATGGGCCCAGAGGAAGGAGGACTGTCGGTAGCATTGCTCCCGACAGAGGACCACCAGTCGCTACCCTCTTCTTCTCTAGGAAGGAGTTTGACATTAATCAGCAGAACAGTAAGATTGAGGATGAGCAGGCGCTGGCTCTTCAGCTGCAGAAGAAACTGAAGGAGAACCAGGTGATGTTCTTCTTGGTGCAGCTAAGGGGACACCTGATGCCCTGAGGCTGTAGGAGCTGCTTAGGATTCTAGACAATATCTAGAACTTCAGGCATCCCCAGAGCCCCAACCATCCCTGACTTCCAGGCAGCACTAGCCTTGCCCTAGTCTTCTTGAGCAAGAATGTACCAGTGGAGCAAAGCTATTTTAGGGGAGAATCGTACCTGTTAAAAGGATTTCTCTTTCTGAAACATGCTCTGGCTCATGGACTTTCTGCTCTGGTAGGAGTGGTAGGACCCGATTCTCCTCTCCCTCTACCCTTCCTTCAGTACTTCTCCCCACTGCACAGGAGTGAGAAGGGCCTTCATGGAATACCTTCCTGTGGGTTGTTGGCTTCATCCTCTTCCCAGTACTAACTCCAGCTACTAACACAGGCTGAGTCCCCACAGATGCTCCTGATATGCAGTTGGCTCTTACCACCTCAAGCAAGTCACTTACCCTCCCTGATCCTCAGATTCTCTTCTCATCCATAACAGGGGACAATACCTCTCTTACAGCACCAGAGGAGATAAAGTACTGTATATGAAACCACTTTGTCAACTAGGAAATCCTACTTAAATATCATTTTAATACAGCCTAGGTTAAAGTCAGCCAGCCACAAACAAGAAGGGTATTCTTTTGTCTCCTCTATTTCTCCCATCCCTTGGTGGGAGGAGAGTAAAGGAACGCCCTTGGCCAGATGGGGTGTGTGCAACTGTAGTCCCAGGTCTTTGGGAGGCTGATGCCGGAGGACCACTTGAGCCCAGGATCACAACTAGCCTTAGGCAACTCAGTGAGACCCCCATCTCAAAAAAATCCATAATGTACCCCAAACTAATGTGCTTTTAATTGTGGGTTTTCCTGGAAAACCAGTAAACCAGGTACAACCTCCATTTTATAGCTGCAGAAACTGCATGGTCGGCTCTGGACATAGTGGAAACAGGTGCTCAACTACTAGAGATAGGACCTGTCCTCTCACTTTCTGGGCAGACTATGGCTAGTAGGAAGAGGTCTTCCCTCAGCTCACAGGACCCGTGGTTCAGGCTGCAAGTAACATATGGACTCAATTCCACTCCTCTGGGCCACTCAAGCATTAGCCTGCCTTCACATGTTATTTATGTTCCCATCTTCTTGGGTGCTCCTTTTGGGTATTAGCCAATATGCTGACCTGTTCCCCATGTTCTCCTGTTCTGGGTCTCAGCAACTTTTTTGGTTTCTTGGACCCAAACAAGAGTGTGTTTATCTTCACCACATCTTGGCAATGAGCTAGGGCTCCTCCCTGTTTCGGCAAAACTCCCACCTTCTCCAACCTGAGAGTGGAGATGTAGGTCCTTTCTTCCAGTCCTGAAGTTCAGTAAAGCTGAAGGAGCTTACTGCAGTCCCTTAAAGCTGTCCATTATCCCAGATGAAGGGAATTCCACCAAGCCTCCCCTTTGTTCCTGGCAAGCCAAACAACAGATCAAAATGGTAGATGAAATCTTCTCAAAATTGAGTCATTTCCAAGGCTAAGGCCAGAAAAACAGGATGGGGCATAACGAAGAAAAGGTGACCTTTGCTGGCCTGGATGAGAACCCAAAATAAGTAAATCCTGAACGGTGAAGAATATGGTCGATTAGACTTCATGGTTAACAAAGAAAATTACTATAGTATTTGATTTTTTAGGCATATTGTGAGTATTTGTGAAAATACAAGCACTTACTTTCTTGTGGTCGGTTAGCAGAACAGGGTCAAGCAAATTTGTGGACTCTGAGATCACAATCTCAGCAGAGCTCAGGATGCCCCTCTGCACAGATTCTCAGGACTCGGGGCTGTGGATGCTCAGGCTAAGTCTACAGTTGCCCTCAGGAAACTCTCGATGGTTTGGTTTTAACCAAATTCCTATCCATGGCCAGTGCATTATAGGGTATTTAGCAGCATCCCCGGCCTCTCCCCAGTAGATGCCAGTAGCACCCTCACCACCAAGCCATGCCAATTTAAAAGGTCCCCAGACAGTCAACTGCACCCTGGGGCACAACACTGCCTCTATTTGAGAACCGCTGCTTGATAGGGATTGAAGTACTTGGGAGCCTTTAAAGCCCTGGGGCGGGGGCTCCCACGGAGGGTCCCGGGGCGCGCCTGAGGCCCTGTATCCCGGCCCAGGCGCGCATCGAGGAGCTGGAGGAGGAGCTGGAGGCAGAGCGCACCGCCCGCGCCAAGGTGGAGAAGCTGCGCTCAGACCTGTCCCGGGAGCTGGAGGAGATCAGCGAGAGGCTCGAGGAGGCCGGCGGGGCCACGTCCGTGCAGATCGAGATGAACAAGAAACGCGAGGCCGAGTTCCAGAAGATGAGGCGCGACCTGGAGGAGGCCACGCTGCAGCACGAGGCCACGGCGGCGGCGCTGCGCAAGAAGCACGCGGACAGCGTGGCCGAGCTCAGCGAGCAGATCGACAACCTGCAGCGGGTGAAGCAGAAGCTGGAGAAGGAGAAGAGCGAGTTTAAGCTGGAGCTGGACGATGTCACCTCCAACATGGAGCAGATCATCAAGGCCAAGGTGAGCCCTCCCAGCCTCTCTCCTCCTCCCATCTCTGCTTTCTGCCTTCGTATTTCTTCCTTGGTAGTGTATTTCCCCATTTCCCTTCCTGTTTCCTTCCACACTTTCCCCTTTCCTTTCTCTTTTAATTGCACCCTGACCCCCTCAAAGCTCCCCTGCGTCCATTGTATAACTCCTTCCTCTCTCAGGCCAACCTGGAGAAGATGTGCAGGACCCTGGAAGACCAGATGAATGAGCACCGAAGCAAGGCTGAGGAGACCCAGCGTTCTGTCAACGACCTCACCAGCCAACGGGCCAAACTGCAAACTGAGAATGGTGAGCCTGTATCTGGGCTCCGTGGATCCTACCCCAGGCTCCTTGGCCTCCTGAGTAACCCCAGTCGCGGATGCATACACCCTTCACATTCACACACACAGTCTCTCCAAAGAGGACCTGAGGGATTGGGAGGGGCTGGGGTCAAGAGAAGTGGCTGATCTTCAAGAGTTGAGCGTACCTTGGTGCCTCCCCAGGTGAGCTGTCCCGGCAGCTGGATGAGAAGGAGGCACTGATCTCGCAGCTGACCCGAGGCAAGCTCACCTACACCCAGCAGCTGGAGGACCTCAAGAGGCAGCTGGAGGAAGAGGTTAAGGTAAGGCCTGGGCCCAGGCCATGGTACCCAAGCAAGGATACATCCGATGGCCTTGCATCTGCATTGCTTCCTCTCCTCAAATAGAGACTTGTTATCGATCCGTTATTCTCTGAGAATCCCAAGCAGAAATAATAGCCCAAACCCTGCCACATGTCTCCTAAATTTTTTCCCCAGTCAGAAGTCCTCTGCTGCTGTCCCTGGGAGGCAGGGTAAGGGTAGGTGGAGAGAAAATAAACTAGGAGGCAGGTTATGGCCTGACTGGGCACAGAATGGGCTGCAGAGACTGCAGGAAGGGGTTCAGGAAGAGATTGGCAGAGCAATCTGAAAGCTCAAGAAAGAAACTAAAATGCAGCCTGTCCCTAGAACTTTGCTGAATCCATGAAAAAGGAGAAAGAGCGTGAATTTTAGAAAGTACCAGGGCTCAATACTAACCTGCCTCATAGTGTGGTGATCTTGAAGAAGCAAACCCCCTGGCCTCTCTGAGCCTCTGTCACCCCCACGCCCAACAGCGGTGCCAATAATGCTGGGCAGTGAGGTGCACAGGGCGGTGGACAGTGCTGCATCAGCCTTCATTGCTGTTGGTGCTCTAAATCGTCCCGGGTCCACTGGGGTCTTGGACACAGGAGTTGAGGTTGGGGAGAGGAGATGGACAAGGGCAGGGGAAAGCTGACCCACCTCCTGGTGCTCGCCTCTCCCCAGGCCAAGAACGCCCTGGCCCACGCACTGCAGTCGGCCCGGCATGACTGTGACCTGCTGCGGGAGCAGTATGAGGAGGAGACGGAGGCCAAGGCCGAGCTGCAGCGTGTGCTGTCCAAGGCCAACTCGGAGGTGGCCCAGTGGAGGACCAAGTATGAGACGGACGCCATCCAGCGCA